TTGATCCTGCCACCCTTGGTATGTGAGGCTGGTGCCCTACCCACTGAGCTACAGGCACTGCCCAGTATATTCTTTTTGCTCTTTTTTTTGATCAACACAATTTGAATGTGCCACGGAAGTTTAACTATAGGTTCAAGTGTGCAGTGAAATAAAAAAGGTTGAAACACAGTGTTTTATAGGCAATTTGTGCTGTTAGCCAAATAATTGCTTAATTGCCTACAAAATAAATTTGTGCTAAATCTCTCCCATTTTTGGCCAACAGAGAACAGCCATCTGTTAGAGTAGATACAGAATATTCATTTGCTCAAATGTTAATACTGCTTGACTGGAATACTGTTTGCGGAGTGAATTCTATTATATGTTCAAAACCCAAACTTTCATCTGATTACAAAAGATTTAACATTCACATGTTACATGACTTTTTTTCAGTGTAACAAAGAGAGATTTCACTTAGGAAGAACAGAGAGAAAGTTTAGATCATGTCCAAAGAGTTGGACGTGAGTCCCTCTCACGGAGGAAAAAAGGTTAAGAGAGACAGAGACTCAAAGGCCCGCAAGGATATAAATATTTTGTTTGAAATTGGTTGCAAGTCTTTCATTGGCCTCTCTGTGCCTCTAGGCAGTATTGTCCTTTCCTATTGGTCATTGATGGTCTCTTTCTATTGGTCATTGGTTACCTAGGTTACCGCCTACGCACATTCTTAGTGGGCCCTCCAGACCTCCTGGTTCAGCAGGCCAGGTTTCCCCTCCCCCCTTAGAAGCTCCTTTCTTTTGTGTCTCTTCTCATTCTCCCCTGAGGAAATATGGTCCTGAAATCTTGAAGGGAAAATGGAGTACAACCATTCTTAGCTACTTCCTGCTGTAAAAAAGGGGCGTTGGCCTACCTAGCAGGGACCCTGCTCAGGTTCCCTACTCTACAGGGGTTTCGGGACTCTCAAGTTTCTGGCCACTTGGTCGACAGGTTCTATCAGTAGCATGTCACATAATCTGGATGGGACAACATCAAAACTATATATACAAATGAAGACGTTCATATTATACGTGCAACATGAAAGAGGTATATTTATTTGGCGTGTTCTGGATGATAGTTGAGCGAAGACAAATAGCTGCGAAACTGGTTGACAAACTGTCCTGGTGATGGAAATTCTTATTTTTTGTTGGTGACAAAAAAGTCCAAAAATGTTACTGTTGAATTTCTCATAGGAATCTGAAAATGTAGCCAATTCATGAAAACTTATAAAAAAAGAAAGATGGTAGATTATTCATGTGTGTTTGAAGTGATCAATAGATTGAATCTAGAGATGGAAATCTAGAGATGGAAAACATAAATGTAGAGAAAAAAACTCTCAATCATTTTAGGTTTGAGAAACTGAAAAAGAAATGATGACACAAAACACTAGATCCACAGCCACTTGGTGTTACTTGTGGCATTATCAGTTATGTCTTGGAAAGCCTCTGAAATATTTTCCTTTCTGTCCAAGGTGAAAATCTGAAAAGAAAGACATATTGTATATATTTTTCCCTGAAAATATAGCTTTCAGCATATATATGTGTATATAGAACTTATATACTTAAGCTGAAATTATGCAACACTAATAAACAAAATAGCACATATCCACATATAATAGAGTAAGTGTGCACAGCACACAGATTATGGCAGTTTTTGTGAGCCTTGTCCTCCCTTTACTTGTTTCTTGATTTTATAATTATAAAAAAAAGATTTTATAATTATAGCAGTAAATGAGTATTATCAAATCTGAAGAAAGGCACTATTGACCTCGAGTCGTGCTAAAATCTCATGTATTTCCTTGATTAAGAATAAAACCCTTTAAATGAGCAATGGAGATGCAAAATAGCCTGTTTTCCTAACTCATTTCAGTCTCAAAGTCTTAAAAAACTAAATATATACAAGTCCGCGTGGTGGCTTGTGCCTGTATCCCAGTACTCTGGGAGGTCAAGGAAGGAGGATCACATGAGCCCAGGAGTTTGAGGCTGCGATGAGCTATGATAGCACCACTGCAGTCTAGCCTGGGCAACAGAGCAAGACTCTGTCTCTAAACAAACTAAATCAATATAAAAACGTAGCCTCTAAGTACTTAATGGGAATACAAAATGGATGGTGTAATTGAAAGTTGTGCAGATAAAGGTATTGTAAGGAGAAAGAGCCTATAAAGTCTTCTTAGGGGTAAACCTTCATTTTGCACTGACTTCCATTATCAAATTCAAGATAAGCTCCTATGAGGGGGTAATATGGCCAAGAAACTGTTTTAATTAGAGATTGAGGGGATACACCAGAATATTTACAGTAATATATAAAGGATAACCCAAACGCAACAAACACCTGTGTTTCAACCACCCAATTTAAGAAAAGGAAGATAGTGCTATCTTTAAATTTCCTGCACGTCCTCCACAGATTCTGTCCCTTTTCCTCGCTCTCAGAGGCAACCACTCCTGAATTTGGGGTTCATCAGCCCTTCCTTTTCATCATAGTTTGATCGTTGTATATTTGTACCCCTAAACAATACATTGGTTGTTTTTCCTTGTTGTTGAATATTTATTAATGGAATCATACAAAATGCGCTCCTCTGTGACACGGTTTATTTGCTCAGCGTCGTTTCTGGAATGTAACCATATGGACAGTGCTATTTACTACATTGGCAACTGGGACTTTATTACCTCACATAGCTAAAGGAAATGAATGATTTAATGACCAGTCAAGGTTTGAAAACCAAAGGAAATGCCCTTATTCTTCTCTCTAGTCCCCTGTTCTCTATGTCTTATAAAAAAAAGCCACAGTCTCTCTGCAGGTTGGGACCCTACTTTGAGCCTTTCCTCTGGGGAAGTTGCTGGCTTTCAAAAAAGACAGGTTGGTCCAGACCAAAGGAAAGAGTAAACACAGAAACAGCAGATGCACCAATTCAAAATGCAGCAGGAAAGAAATTAATGCATGAATATAGTTCCTGATGATACAAACATGCACAGAAATAAAAGCGTGAGGAGGAATAGAACATTTTGTGAACATGCTTTCCATAGGCAACGGCAATAACATAATAGTCAACATTTTTTGAGTGCCTACTATGTACCAAACACTGAGGTTTTCTATACATTACTTTATTCCTCAGTGATTTCCTCAAAACACCTATGAGGTAGGTTCTGTTATTATGCCCATTTTACAGAAAAGACAAACTAAGGTTTCATTTGAGATCGAGAGATAAGTAACTCCCCTGTTCAAAGTCATGTAGCTAGTGTGAAGTCGAGCTGGAATTTGCATCCCGCTGGACTGACTTCAGAGCCCATACTCTTAACCATGGTGCTACCCTGAATTCATTTCTTGGTATCCATTGAGGGGGATATATCTTTAGAACATTCTTAGGAAAAATTGAAGAACAATAATCTATTCTCACTTTTTGGGAGGTGGGAAAACGGAGGCTCAGAAAGAGACTTCAGGCCATGTGATGAGTTGGGGGCCAAGATTAGGGTAGAACCCACTTTCCAGAAAATCCAACAAATCCTAACTGAGTGCACACTGTGGTCCTGTCCAAGGTAAACATTTATTCTTTTAGTTTCAGGCTCTTTCCAGCAATCACACTGTTTTACCAGGTCCACAGAAGTGCCCTGGAGGATAGAAGGGACTTGGGGAATTGCTTCCTGACACAGCAGTCTTTTCCACTGGGTTCTGAGACCCCCAGAAATATGAAGACATGCACAGCTCAAGCCTGTGAGCTCTATGGCCCTGATGAACCCCAGACCCAGCTTCCACAAGACCTGACTTGGACTCACTTACCTCGACCACCTTTTTGACCCTTTAGACCCGGCTTCCCTGGATTTCCGATAGCAATTCCTGTGGACCCTTTGTCTCCTTTGGGTCCAGGCACACCAGCAGACCCAGGCACTCCAGTGATACTAGCTCCTGGAAGGAGATGCAGCAGGAAGGGGCAGAACTCAGTGAGGGGTAAGGCCTTCTTGCTTAGCTCGCCTGTCTGGGGCCTCAGAGGCCTGTTCAACAGATATCAGATGCAGATTCGTCAAGTAACAGGAAGAGGAGCTCATTTGCAGAGAAGAACAAACCCCATCATCTTTTCTCCTTGTATCAAGGGACCTCAAAATGGAGCCTGGGAACGAATTCCATAAGTCCGAGGATATGACAGACACCGCAGTTGAGAATTCATGGCGAGTACCTGCCAGGCTTCTGTTAAACCTGGTGCCCTCCTCCTTACCCTCGAGGGTCTTCCTTACCTGGAGTGCCATGGGTGCCTTTGGTGCCTGGAAGCCCATTAAGTCCATGTAAACCAGGAAATCCAGGGAAGCCTGAGGCAAAGGAACATCACAAATGGTTCTAGAAACTCTAAATCATAAAGTGTGACCAAGACATAGTTACCTGTCCCCAAAGCATTCCTATGTCCTCATTTTAAAGTCCTGGTCTTTCCTGAGGCATTACTTAATGCTCTAAGGGAGGACAGATCAACTCCAACATACACCGTGCACTCTAGATTCTCATGAGTCTTATCAGAGATCAACAGAGGTGGTGGCCAAGTAGGTATCTTGTAGAAGAACTCTTAGAGTGGCAATGCCCAAGACTCTGAGTTGCCAGTTTCCAAAGACTGGTACCAGAAACTCACTGCCGAATCTCTAAGTCAGGGAACGCCTACACATGCCAGGGCAATGGTCTTCCTTGCTAACTCTTCTCTCCCAGGTTCTTCTCTTCTCATTCATGCTTGCCCACCTTCATTCCTCTTCATCTTCCTTTCTCATTATTGCTCATACAGCCCAATGACTCTCTTGGGTTTGGCTTAACCCCGACAATATCTTCTCAGAGTAGTTACTGTCCTTTATTAAGGGAAGGAAACTTTTTCTTACTGCCTGTTCCTAAACACACATACCTTTGGGTCCTATTAAGCCAGATGGTCCTACGGGGCCAGATGCTCCCGGACGCCCAGAGGGTCCTGGATTTCCTGCGGCTCCTCTCATACCTGCAATCCCACGAAGACCTAAATATGAAACCAAGGCAGAAGTTCAGAACGGGGCACGGCTGGAAGCTAATCCTAAGTCTTTTGGCATAAAGCAACCATGTGGCATGGTACCTGGGGGGCCAGGGAGGCCAACATCTCCAGAAACACCGACTTTGCCATTTTCACCCTTTTTTCCTGGGAAACCAACATCACCAACCAATCCATCTTTTCCTTTTGCACCTGCAAAAATCAAGAAAAACGAGTGATCAGGCCACATTTCTACCCATGTGTTCCTCCAAGGGAAAGGGCAGATTTTGAACTGCTGAGGGAGCTAGTTCAACTAAGACTCTGAAAAGGAGATTGGCAGCTATCGTCACATTTGGCATATGCCATCAATTTGAGAAATAAACTTGTTGTGAATGTCCCATGGAAGTGGGAACAATGGGTAGAAATGTTCCAGAAGCACAGTTTAGGTAACAACTAAACTAAGGGGGTGGATGGCGTTATCCCAAAGGTCTTTGCTAGCCAATGATTCTAAAAGGAACAGTAGGCTGGTTTGCTTGGAGAACCTGTAGGAGGGAATTTTTCTTCAATGGATGGAAGTTGAGAAACATGAAACTTGAACTCCAAAATTCCTTCCAAGCCTTAGTTTTGAGGAGTCTCCGAGGCACATGGGACAAAAAATAATCATAGCCTTACCTTTAAAACCAGATTCACCACGTTGTCCTTTTGGTCCAGAGACACCAGAAATTTCAACCCTTTCCCCTGGATCTCCTGGGGACACCAAGACATTGTTTATGTGGTCAGAAGAGGCAATAGCTCATTTTGCACTAGCAAGATGTTCTGAACACATTTTTTTTTTTTTTGTCAGATTCAAGGTAGCCAGAGGAGTTCCTTGGCAAAATTATCCACGGGTAAAAGGTGACCAATCACAATCCAGGAGCTGTACGCTACTAGGCTACTGGCACGAAATGCTGCCACATGCAGCATATCTCCATTGGGAAACGTGTCACTAGGCTCCATATAGGCAGAACAGATGGCAGGCAGGGTCCTAAACCATCACCAGAATGGAATAGTGATGCCAGCAAAGATGAGAACTTTTCCTGCCTAGAGGGCTGAATTTATCAAAAGAGACTACAGCTGAGGTTTCCTCTCCTGCTGAGTCTGCAAGGCAGATGGGTCAAAACACAAAGCCAAGGGACAGCCTTGTCCTTGGCTCCATGAAAGCCTGGGAGAGAGATGTTGGTAGGTACCACTGTTTGTTGCATTGTCTTTGAGAAACAAACATAAACGAGCAGATTTTTGCCAAAGGGTAAATGTAAATCAATTCACTTTCCCCTAAACACAGAATCTTCCCCTCCCCCAAGAGAGCCCCAGACCTGCTAGAAATCCATCTTGCTCTACAAAAACACACTAAGAAGAAAATGCACCTTACCTTTTGAACCTGGGAGACCAGATGTTCCTGGGCGCCCAGGAGTCCCACGGAGACCCTGTGAACCCTTCAAAGCAACATGGGAATCATCATTTCTGCCCAGAGCACAGGGCTGCCCACCTTCTTACCCGCCCTCTCCTCACTAAGCCACTGCCTCAGAGATTTCTACCCTGTACTCTGGGGCAGAGGTGGGCTGTGGGTGGGTGGAGGACACACCCTGCCAATGGGAAGGTGATGAGCAAAGGGCAGAAGCACAGAGTTAGGGTTTGTGGAGGAGAGGTTCAATCTGCAGATTAATCCTTGTCATTCATAACTTCCTACCACCTAGCAAAACTGAAATCTTGGGAAATCAAGGCATGGCTACTCTAGTGAGTGTCTTCAACATACAAAACTTGACAGTTAGGCCAGGTACCCTAAGCATACCACAGTCAACTACCACCATCCTTGCCTAAGCTCTGAAGCCATTATGCAAAGGAAGAAGCATTGCTTCACTCTGCAGGGCTGTCTCTCTGCCACAGGTTCCGTGAGGAACCCAAGGTCTTTCTGCCACCAGGTTGCAGGCTGTATGTGTGTGGGTGTTGGAATGTGAAGTAGGGTGAATGTTCACATTTTCACAAGAAAAGCTGCCTTCACTGCACTGCCTGTCTGAGTCTGGGAAGTGGACATGTTAGCTGCCGTCAGACAGCTCATCACCTGGTACCTGGTATGGTTTTGAAGCATTTTGAGAAGTATCTAGTATCCAGTAAAGACATGTGTCACTTAGTGCTTTGAGCAGGAGGTTGAGTATTGGGTGGGATCACTGTGCTTACTGGACCACTACCCAGGACACCCCTCCACTCTGCCTGCCTCCTTGCCTGGCTTCGTCCAACACACTGCTATACCTTCTCCTAATTCTGTGCTCTGCTCACTCTGTGATGCCTACTAGAATGCCTCCCCACTTTGCTTCCACCCCTCCTAGTATGTGAGTAGTTAGGATTATCCAGTCTAGGATTATTTATTTTACAAAAGTCTTAGGGGTGTGTGTGTGTGTGTGTGTGTTTTCATCAGATCGGCTGACATTTTTGCCTGCAGGGAGCACAAGTCATCTGTAGTCATCTGTGATTTGGTTTATTTAGACCCCTCAATACTGCTACTATTTACACATAGACTGTCATGTGCTAGACACAACGGTAAGTGCCCTGCACGTATCATCTTGCTAAACCCTCACTACTGTCTGAAGGAGGTTTGAATATTATTCCCACTTTTCACAGATGAGTAAAGTGAGGGTCATAGAAGTTAAACAATGTGCACAAGATCACAGAGGTAGTGAGTGATGGAGCTGAGAATCAAACCCAAGTCTGTCTCATGGCTAAACCTGCTCCACCTCCCTGCCTTTTTAAGAACCCAGAGAAGCTGTATTTGATTCTTTGCTAGCTGTTGCCCCTTGTGGAGCTTCAAAGATTTTTCTATCAAAACATCCAGAAGTCTGCCCTGAATTCTTACAATGTGCCAAACTCAATATGGAATGCTAGCAGTGGGATACAAGGTAGTTCTTGTTCTTAAGCTCTAATAATCTCACTGAGGCAGTCAGACCTGCATAGAAGCAACTGGGATCAAGGTCAGCAGTGAGACATGCAGAGTGCCAGAGCAGTGAGAGCTCAGGGACTCCTGGAGGAGACAGCACCTGGGCTGGGGCCTGAAGGACAGGCAGGTATTGGGCAATTGCAGAGGAGGGAGGAGGCTCTGCCACACAGGGAAGATAATTTGAATAAAAGAGGGGTATTCAGGAAATAGTGGGCAGACCTGTCACATTCAATGAGAGGGCTCTGCCTGAGGGTGTCCTGGGGGAAGAGACTTGGAAGTGGGCTGAGATCAGAAAGGTGGGCAGTGGGGGGGTGTCCTCCTGCTACAGGGCCCTTCTCTGGTGGAGAGATGAAGATATGGACACACTTACAGTTTGTCCTTTCATTCCTGGGAAACCTGTGATTCCCTGTGATCCTTTCAGGCCAGGTAAGCCCCGTAGTCCTGTAGAGCCAGGAGAGCCTGGCCTACCAGGGAGTCCCTTGATGGTACCAGGAAATCCAGGAGTTCCAGGCAGGCCTGGTGGCCCAGGGTAGCCTGCCTTTCCTTTGTCACCTGGGAACAAGCAAAAGGGCTCAGAAAAACACTCTGGGCAAGAAAAAATCAGTTCTACAAGGTGTAGGTGTCCTGGGTTGGTCACAGGCCAAGTTCAGACTTATGGGTAGTTAGCTGGGGGACGGAGGTAAAATTGGGGTAGATGCATCCAGTCTTTTGGAGCACTGTGAGCCAGCCTCACTGGGAAAGCACCTCGGTGCTCAGGCCCCACTATCTGCCAAGCTCTTCCAGGGGTACCACAGCCTGTGATTGAAAACCTCAGTTCCACAGTGACAATGGCAATTGGCAGCCTCAAAGTCCAGGTACCCTCAGGCCCAGGAAAGGCAGCCTCCTTGGACCCCACACTGCTATTAGGGGTGGGAGGGCTTATACTTCAGGGCTTTTTCTCAGGAAGGAAGCTAAGTTTGGTTGTAAAACCTTTCTTGGGCATTTCTTCTGTCCATCCCCTGCCCTAGCACCTTTGCGTCCAGGAGATCCATCTGGACCAGCTGTGCCTTGAAAGCCTTTGTCTCCTTTGAGCCAAAGGTTCGGCATTGGAGGTCTTAGAATGGGTGTTCCAACTGGCCCTGGATCACCTCTGTCTCCTGTAGGGATGGGAATAGGAAATCAGTGTGAGAAAGAGAGCTTAGACATGGGGTCAGTAAAAGGCTGACCTTTTATATCATTTCATCCTACACCACCCCCAGCCCTCTTTCTGGGCCCTTCTACCTTCTTCCCCAATCCTATTCTGCCAACTTTTCATTTCTGTGTGTGTCCTACCTTCTACAAACTCAATGTCCACTAGTGACTTTAGACCCTGCTCAAAATCCTCCTCCATTAATCATCTGTGGATGTATATGGCCTCTAACACACAATGTTAACTCAGAAGGGATTAGGTCTTTTGGTTTAAAAAGACTTAATTCCAGGAGCCCCAAATCTTATTATCTAACCTAAAGTTGTTATAAACGATACGAACAAATAAGTCAACAAACAATATATACACTGGGAAGCATGGGAGACAGTTCTAGAATTCCATTCCCCAGCTCACCCTTTTCACCAGGACTCCCAGCCTGTCCAGATGGTCCCACTTTTCCAGGTGATCCTGAAATTCCTTTTAATCCTCGTGTCCCAGGAATACCAGCGAGACCTGGTACCCCTGGGAATCCTATCATTCCAATGGAGCCCTTCACACCTGTTGAGAAAAAAGAACATCTGTTAGTATCCTCATTTTACATATAAGGAAATGGAGGCTCAGAGAGGTTGAATAACCTGCCCAAAGTCACACAGCTAGGAAGTTACAGAAGGGATTCAAACCCAGGTTTCTCTAACACCAAGATCTTAGTCATTACATATTATACTACTTCCCTGAATAGGGACATGGCACTAAGAAACACAAAGGAAAGAAGTGGGTCCCTCTCCTATGATTCACCAATTTAGAGCTCATGTGTGGTATAGAAAAAAAAAAAAAAAAAAGAAAAGCCTAGGGCCAGGATGTAGGGAGATGGGCCCTAGCCTGTCTCCACTGCTAACCAGCTGTATGACCTTGGACCAGTCACTTGTTTCTGATTGAAATGGAGATGCCACCTGCCGAACCACCCATGGCTATCAGGGCAATTATAGGAAGTGAGTACTATCAGGCTTCATGCTAGGAACTGCACAAATGGGTAAACCCAGCATGGCTGTCACTGCCCTAGGCTTTACTGACCATACTATTCAGCTCTGTGTTCCACCCAGCAGGCAGTAAAAGTGACTCATCTTGGGTGGGTGGGAGTCCTTTAGCACTAGCCCTGTCTAACTATCTTGCCACAAAAAGCCCTACCCAACTCCATCCTCATTCCTCAGCAAAGAGAAGGGAGCAATCTGGGAAGCTACAAGTGACCTACTGGTCACTTCACTGATCATTTCACTTACCATTTGGGCCTGGGAGACCTGGCGACCCAGTGCCCCCGGGCAAGCCTGGACTTCCCAGCAAACCAATTAGCCCTGGGGATCCAGGAAGGCCTTTCAGGCCAGGCAGACCTTTTCTTCCAGGTAGACTCCGGAGGCCTTCCTCGCCTCTCGGGCCTTTCTTTCCCGGATGCCCTGAATCGGTGCAGGAGAGAACATAGGACGGCTGTCAAGTGAGGCTCTGCTTCTGGTTGGTCGGCCTGTTATGTTTTGTAAAAGGCCCTTCAACAATAGCACATGCAAGCTGCTAACAGGGAGTGTTCTTAGCTGGCTGAACTATTAGCACCTACTACCCGAACACCATGCCAGTGGCTATTACTTCTAGCATGGCACAGTAGCTGGCAGGGAGAGCAAGCCCTTGCTGATCATAACTTGTTCTTTTCTTTTGTGAATGTGGTTCACACTTTAGCCTCTGAATGGAGCTCTGGGAAGCCAGGGTGGCAAGTGGCCTCTGGTTTCCCGGTACTTCCAGTCTGAATGACACCACAATGGTGAGGGAGAGGTTAAAGCTGAGCTGTTGTTTCAGCCTCCCAGGGAGCCTTGGATACAGGGCTGCCCTTTTAATCCCTCAAGCAAGCAGTTAAGTCAGCTAGTTCCTTGGCATTAAGGTTGAAAGACCCCCTAGTGCCAAGTACTGTGGAAACCCACAAGGCCCATTTGGTCTCCTAGGTATTCTGAGATGTCATTCCCTACGCTTTAAAGTTGGTCAATGGGATTAACCTCCTGAGCTGCTGCCAAAGTGGAATGTTCAGGTACAAAGCACGGAAATTAAAAAACTAAAGGATTAAATCAATGACGACAGAGGTATTTGGGCTCCCAAGGACCCAAATGAATGGCTGACTTGGCTTTCTTTGGATTGAAAAGCATCAAGTAGCTGCAAGCCCCAGGATTCAAATGGGAGGCCGTGAAGGGGACTCTGCAACAAGGGAAGTAAATTCAATGGGAGCCAACCCCACAGCATGAGCTCAAGGATCCCTGTTCTTGTAAGCAAGGCCATGTTATAGCATACAGTCAGATAATTCCCTGAGCAGCAAAGCCGGTGCGGGTGTTAGTCTGGGAGCCTGTGTGCTGTGTTTTCTCGCCTACGCAGCCTACATGAAGATCTCCGAAACAAAGAAGGACAGAAAGGATATATTAATGGCTCTGCAAATAACTCAACTTCGGTCACTTGGCCAGGAATAAGAGTGGGCAGAGGAAATGACGAAGTCACTGAGGCAGGGTGAGGGGGCAGGGCAAGGAAAACGCAAGCTGCAAACACCAGGCTGAAACCAGAGGGTGTTAGACCCCACTGCTCAGTGAAAATCATTTTGGCTGTGGGGCCTTGGAAGCACGCTCGCCTGAGGCAGACTGCGGGGAGTGGGGGGGGGCACACTCTGCTCAAGCTTCTCCCTAGCCCAAAGCAGGCTCCCCATGGCCTCAGTGAAGGCAAGGGAGAGGGACTGGACCCACCTCAACAATGAAGGAGCTTCTCTAACTGGTAAAGGCAGGAGAGGGGCTAAGGCACGAAAAGGGGGTATGAGGCCAGGGAGATTTGTGGTAATATTTAGGAAGCTAACTTGACTTGAGATTTGAAACTTCTAGAGGTTAGGAAAGTCTCATTCTAGCTGGGCGCAGTGGCTCACGCCTGTAATCCTAGCAGTCTGGGAGGCTGAGGCGAGAGGATTGCTTCAACTCAGGAGTTTGAGAACAAGAGTGAGACCCTGTCTCTACTAAAAAATAGAAAAAAAAAAACTAGCTGGGCATGGTGGTAGGCACCTGTAGTCCCAGCTATTTGGGAGACTGAGGCAAGTGGATCACTTGAGCCTAAGAGTTTGAGGTTGCTGTGAGCTATGATGCCACAGCATTCTACTGGGGGGTGACAGAGTGAGACTCTATCTCAAAAGAAAAATAAGGAAAGTCTCATTCTAAATTCTGACCATGTTAAACTGCTGCTGTTGCCTCTCAGGGCACCTGGGCCCAGGGCCTAGCTGAAACTCCTTCTCCAAAGGACTTACCTATGGTGCCTGGTGGGCCTGGTATTCCTGGGATCCCAGGTTTGCCCTTGGTGCCATACAGACCACCAGACCCTGGGGGGCCTGGTTGTCCCATGTGTCCTGGTGTTCCAGGGCTGCCCAGCTCACCTTTAGGGCCTAGCAAGCCAGCCTTTCCAAGCATACCTAATAAGGGAAAAGAGAAGAGACTCACAGCCTGGGTGGATAGTAGACACTGTGTCATCAAACCAACTTGGAGACTTTGGCCCAGGATTCATCCCAGCTGCCACTGACTTCTCAGCTCCAGCTCCAGCCTTGTTTCCATTCCCAGCAATAAACCAGAGGCTTGGCAAGAAATCTGACTATTGGTTGCAGTCACTTCTGCAATTACTAAGATAGCAAAATGAACTCAGGCCATTAAGGACGATTTCCCAAAAAGGAGGGCCAGAACAAAATATTTCATTTTAACCCTCTCATGAAACCACCTCCTCAGATTCATGCAAGCATTCATGCAAGTATGCTGGTTAATGCAAGACTGTTAAATAAGTGGGACAAAAATAATCACCCTGGGGTCCTGGAAGACCAAGGTCTCCATGAAATCCTCTGTCCCCTGGCAATCCCTGTAGGCCTTGCTCCCCCGGAGCACCACTTTCAAAACCAAAGATGTCACCAGGGGCTCCCTTGGATCCTGGTAAACCAGGACTTCCAACCTTCCCAGATAATCCATCCTTTCCAGGCAGCCCAAGATACCCAGGGAAGCCCTTTTCTCCACGAGGTCCAGGAAACCCTAAATATAAAAAGACAAAAATAAAAGGCCACGGATGTTTAGAAGCGATTTTTCTGGGCAAATATTTCTGAGATGGATTTTTCTAATATGAAATCTAATATATTAAATATATGTTACATCTTTTGAAGCTCGGGGGTTTCTGGTCCTGGGAGTCTTGCCTAGAGGCAGAGACTGCACCACGTGACCTAGAAGAGGTTCTAGTGAGGCCAGGCCTAGGCAGAGCTTGGCAAACTGTTCCTGGGCCTCCTATGGTTGCTGAAGATTGCAGGTTACCCCCAAGGCCTCCTGTCTAAAGTTCAACCTTGTCTGGAGCTGTCTAGCGCCTGCTGTCATGTCTCCCTCTTCTCGGGTGGGGACAGGGTAATGGCGGGAACCCCAGAGCACATGGTCAAAGATAAGCCCTGGGTCCTATAGCAGCAGTGATTCTCAAACCCAAAGGAGCATCACAATCACCGGGGCCAACACATAGATTGCCAGGCCCAGCCCCAGAGATTCTGATCAGCAGGTCCCTGTAGAGCAGCTCAGAATATGCCTTTCCCAGAAGTTCCTGGGAGATGCTGATGTACAGAGTTTGAGAACAACCGGTACAGAGTAGGACTGTGGAGCTCAGGTTGGAACAACAGGGTATGTGAAGAGGGATAGAAATGGACAATTTCTCTCTGACTGATCTCAGTCTCTTTCTCTGACCTTTAAAGAGTCGATCAAGAAACTGTCATAGGACTGGCAGGAGAATGGTCTGGCAGAGTCCTAGATCAGTCACTAGTGGCTTTGTGATTTTGGGCAAGTCATTTCCTATCTGGAACTTAGTTTCCCAGTCTGAAAGTTAAGGAGCTATCCCACCTGATCTTGAATGGCCCTTACTGCTCTGATATACTGTCACTCTTTGGCTCTAATCCTCTCCTTTGCTTGGGTATAAAAATCAAACCATCCCACCCACACCAGTGAGCAAACCTGGCTTCCTGTATTTGGTGGAGGGCTACCTCACTCCAAGCACACACTCATACAAAAGGAGAAGCAGGTGAGGAGAAGCGCCTTTCCTTACCTGGCAATCCAGGGAGGGGAGCCAGTCCCGGACTCCCAGTCTCTCCTTTATTTCCACGTGATCCGGGCTTGCCTGGAGACCCAGGGAGGCCACGAGCCCCTTTAGGGCCTGAAAACCCAAATGTAAATAGTCATGGGAAAGGAAAGCCAGCGTTGCTGGGTATGATGTGTGATGTTCAGTCAAGAATCCTAGATTCTTAGAGGGCCTCACTTAGTCTCACCTCCCCACACTGCCCTCTCTAAGACCATTCTATTTCCTTAATCCCCAGGGCTGCCCTCAGGAGGAATGTGGATCCTCACTGAAATGCTACTGGTCTATACCTCTGCTTCCTTATGCTCATGGCCTTTACAAATGTGCTCACTTTATCTGACCTCATTCCATACCTGGGAATCCAGGAGTTCCTGGGAATCCTGACGGACCGTATGTGCCGGGAATAATACAAGGCAAGGTGACTCCTGTAAATGGTAACACATATGCATCAGGTGAACCCACTTAGCCAGGGAAGCTTTCCCCCCATCATGCTCTTTTACTTACACTCCATTTAATGGGATAGCCAAGTTCTCTCTGCTCAGCAGCTGAGAGCCCACACAGGAAAACTGGGGCATTGGAAGCTGTGTGAGTTACCAGCAGTACAACTACTTACAGATGAGAATGCCCTCAGTGTCCAAGTGCCAGGTTGTTACTTATCAAATCATTAGTGCCCACCGGGCAAGCAGTCACCTATGCAGCAGATGTTACTCAATAAGTTTTCCTAGAGGCAGCCTGTTACAGCAGCAAACAGCAATTGCCTAGTTGCCCTGCCCTCAGAGCCTCTCCCTCAGATGGGTACCTGGGGTTCTTCCATTGTGCCCATATGACTGGATGGAAAGGTATGAAGGCTCCTCAAGTTGACCTGTCTACCCTTTTCTTGGAACAAGGCTTTCCTTAAACCACTGGGTTTTTAAAAATATACTCCACCTTGGGCAGATGTACCCATATGTCTATACCAGGCAAACACTGAAGACCACTGTCTTTCTTGGCCATGACAGGCAAATGGTGACCCCTCCCTCAGCTCCTTATTTGAAGCTGTCAACTCCACTACACAGGGAGAAGGAATAGTCAATTTCAATATTAAAGATGTCAAAATTGACATGCATAGCCCTTCCCTTAACAAATTCTTTCTTGCTCATTCATAATACAAGGAAAAAGAGTCTGTAAGATCATAGAGGGGAGGTTTAATAAAATACCGGTGAACAAACTGTATGTCGGCTCCCTCAAGTGCCATTTACAAATAATTGCCCTGCTAATTAAAATTAGTCCTGCCTATTCATTGAAACAATCCCCCAAGGTCTGCTTTGAACCACAGAGCCAACAGTTTTAATAAAGTTCTATAGCCTTTGCGTGCACTTAAAATAAATCATAAGTTGTATTTCTGAAAAATATATATACAGCCTATGATTCAGATTGCTTATTCAACTGACTAGCAGGCTTCCTCCAAGCCTACTTTTATTTTCCTAACTCAAGATTGACTACTAAACAGTCTAATGTATTGGTTAAGAGGTTGGGCTCTGAAGCCAGACAGACTGAGCTGATATCTTAGTTCTGCTACTAACCAGATGAGCTGTGTGGACAAGATACTTAAACCTCTCTCTCTGAGCCTCATGCATTAACCATCTCTCTCAATGGTGTGTGTGTGTGTGAGGATTATATGAAACAGGGCTATTAGAATCTCGCACAGTGCCTGGCACTCTGGTATAGGCTCAATTAATACTAGTCATTATTTTGTGCCAGGAGGAGAATTCAGAAGAGTTCCTAGAAGGCCGTACCCTGGTTTCTACCTCAGTCAGGTTGGTGACACTACTTGTAGCCAGGGTAGTAACTTTCTGTCTTTTAGACCTCAGGTTTCCATAGTTGTATTACCACAGGAGGAAAGATAGCCATAGGCCTGGATCTTCCTCCACAGGTTGGTCACACCCACCTCCATCCTGCCAGATGCTAAGATGGCAGAACTATTTGATAGTGATTTCCCTACTATAGAAATATGTTCTATAGGCAAAAGTGCTTCATGATGAGATCCTTCTCTGGGAGGGGCTTCCAACCCTGTTCTTGACTCAGAGCCTGGGTCCTTTGAACTAGGCTGAAGAACTGCCTCCATAGATGCATACATGGTACTGTGAGAGGGACCCTGTGAAAGACTCTCTTGTCCCTCACTATCTCAATAGCCCATTGGATCCAATATCAAACCGTACCATTACAGTTCTAGTGATTTATGTCTTAGGAACAAACTTAGTAAACTAAAAACATCCCTGAGCTGGGTCGGAACATGAACCCATCTACCCTTAATTTATTGGATCAGTTTAATAGCTTCTTTTCACCTGTGACAGCAGATTTTAAAAAGCCTTTAGAAGATGGGGCTGAGGACAGGCATCTGGAAAGATTCCAGGACAGGAAAACTAATGATCAAAGGGAAGGTGGGTAGAAAACCAGAGGAAATCAAGGACATATTTCCCTTCCTACTTTTGCCTCAGACCTGTACACCACACCACACTTGTGTATTGCAAGCAGAAGTTCCAAATGGTGAGCAGGGAAGTCCTTCAAGTCATCCTGGCTTCTGGCTCTTTGATTTCACATCCTGTCTTTTGCTTTATATTCCTCAATTCAGAGCCTTCTCAACAAAGCAGAAATGTGCTTACCTATGCTCTGTTTTGGAAGCACAACAAATGACATAATTGTTCAGATTTTTCCCCATGAATGACAAAATTTGTCTTCAGAATAGAAAGGACCTCTTGTTACCAAGATTCTAACATCCGGTCAGGCATGGTGTCTCATGCCTATGATCCTAGCACTCTGGGAGGCTGAGGTGGGTGGATTGCCTGAGCTCAGGAGTTTGAGACCAGCCTGAGCAAGAGCAAGACCTCATCTCTAAAAATAGCTGGGCGTTGTGGCAGGTGCCTGTAGTCCTAGCTACTCGGAAGACTGAGGCAAGAGAATCACCGGAGCCCAAGAGTTTGTGTGAGCTATGACACAAGGGTGCTCTACCCAGGGCGACACAGTGAGACTCTGTCTCAAAAATAAATAAATAATAATAATATTATAAAATAGTCTAATACCGAAGTTTGTTCTGTGTCCAATGAATAAAGGTCAGAGGTGCCTGGGTCCTTCCAGGTACCTCCCAAGGCAAGTTACTGCCCCAGTTAAGTTCAGAGAATTCAATTGGTGAAGATAGAGATCAGCCAAGCGACAGATAAGCAGAAGGAAACCGGCCCCTCTCAGAGTGCATGCTCACTTATTCCCGTGCTCCCCCTGCAGGAACTCTGTGCCAAGGAGCCTCCAAAGCAGTGCCAGTCAGCATCAGATCACCCCATCCCAAACATGGGTGGTACTCAGGCTGTTGTGAGCATCTGAGACAAAGGTGAACAAAAAAGGTGTGTCTGGCCAACACTGGTGTGCAAGAACCCCTAGACCTGGCTAGCTCTCACCTCCCTCTGTGTCTAAGTCTCCTCTACCGACCTTCTCCCCGCAGCAGCAGTCACCTAGAGCCATCAAGTAAAGAAGAAAAATCAAACCAGGACACAAATCCCTTGAGGCAGCAGCCCAGATATGCCCACCAACCAACTCCCCTGTCTGAACTGAGTGGAGAGCACTGGCACCCACACCCGATCAGGTACACAGTAGCCATGCTTCAGTAACAAGCAGGGTGATTGATCACCATGAGCATCTGCAGCAGAGCCTCTTTGCAAACAGCCAGTTGTCTGCTTGCCCAAAGTGTGTAATAATTCACACTACTAACTCAAAAGGCTCCTGATGATTACATTCTCTTTCCTCGCAATCCAGCTGCCCTAGCCCAGGCTACTATAGATTGGAGTGGGTACATGTAGGAATCACATCTTAAATTTTTACAGCAAATGAAATGGTTATAATGCAAATGCCTGAGGCCTACAGGTTCTTTGTTTTTAAAACTGTATGGCAAGGAATCTAGGTTTGGTGTATCTGTAAAGTTCATGTACGATTTAAAATAGTTGGCTATTTTAAATTGCACATGAACTTTATGGATACCTTGTATGTTGTTGCCATAGAAACAAAGATAGCTAATGTTGTTTATTGAAGTAATTTTTCCTTTTTTTTCTTCTTCCTGGAGGCAGGAGTTCTTGGTATGTTGCCCAGTCTGGACTCAAACTCTTGGACTCAAGAGATCCTCCCACCTTAGCCTCCCAAGTAGCTGGTATTATAGGTGCATGCCACTGCACCTGGCTTGAAGTAATTTTTTCCAAGTCTTGATACTGCAACAAGGACTTTGCTATGGTTTGAACGTGGTTTGCCACCACCAAAACTCATGTTGAGGCTTGGTTCCCAATGTGGTGGTGTTAGGGAGGAGGCATCTTTGTGACCCGTTTGTTAAGATGGATTAATCTCCATAGACCAGATTAATTCTCATGCAAATAATAAGTTCCCACAAGAGCAAGCTGTAATAAAGTGAGGTTGCCACTAGCATTGGCCTCTTTGACACATGCCCTTCTACTTTCTGCCATGAGTTTAAGAAACACAAGGCCCTCACCAGATGAGATACCCAAACCATGAACTAAATAAACCTCTTTTCTTTATAATTACCCAGTCTCAGGTATTCTATTATAGCAACAAAAAAACAGAAGACAGATATTTTTCTTGTATAAGGCATCTCCCAGGCTATAGCTTACTATATATCATTATGTTCCTAAGAATTTTCTTTGGTAAGACTAATAAAGTGTGGGACAGAAATGGTACCAGGGGCTTCCTTCTGTTGACTCAGACTGTTCTCAAAACAGTTGCAATGTTGATAATATCCAGATTTGGGGTTATGTAAGTTTGTAGGTATCATGCTATTATCACGTAGTTTAAAACTCAGTTGCCTGTAACACAGGCTGAACGAGAGTAGAGACAATTGGGGTAGGGGTAGTGGAATGACCATGAGTAATGTCTGTGGGGACAGAGCTGGAGGCAAAGCTACAGATGACACTAGGACCTCCAAGAGACAGAATGATTTTGCTTGATAAAAGCTCTCTCAGCCTTCTTAAGAAGTTTTCAAAGGAGATACAGAGTGGCCATCAATTGGACATGAACTTTATGGCTGCCTTGTATTTACTTGGTTTTAAAAATTGTGAGTTATCAAGGTTCGAGTTGTAGCATCATCCTTATTATACGAAAAGAGATTTTAAAAGAAATAAAATTTTATAAGACATGGCATCCTGCCGTTTCTTTTTTTTTTTTTTTTGATTCTGAATTCTTCAAGGTGAAAATGTAGAGAAAGGAGAAATAGGCCTATAAGAAATAGCCCCTTGGTTATTGGGAAGCCCCTTTCCTCTCTTTCAGAACACTGCATTATCCTAGGTAGGTTGAAAAACTCCAAGAAGTATTACTCATCTTCCCTAGTATCCGGAGGCTTGCAGTGTAGCTGGGAAAAGTAAAAGCATTAATGGAAGGGAATGTATAATTTATGTAGCAATGGTATACTGTAGAGGTTGAAGAGAAAGCTTAATGGAAGAAGCAGGGCTTATTTTGAAACCTGAAAGAAGGATATTAGGTGACTACATAGGGAAAAAGTGAAGAGTATGCCAAATAAAGGCAACCTGGGCAAATCTTTGAGTTGAAAGTGAACAAGTTACGTTTGGGTACAGGGAAAAAGACTGGAATCTTAAGTGTTTCTTATTGTGAAGAGTACGATATATGAAAGAAAAGGTTAATTGTGCCCATGTTTGAAGACTTTTAAATTTGGGGCTGAGAAGTTTGGACATTATCTTCTATTCAATGGCAACCATTTGTGGCTTTGGACTAGAGGAATAATATGATACTGGCACTTTATAGGTACTAAATTGGCCACAGTGTTCATGGTAGAATTGAATGAGAAAACTCTAGAGTTAGGAGATGAAGAACTACTTAGGAAGCTGCCATTTACTCACTAATCCATCCAACTAACCAACCGTTCATTTATTCCAACTTGCACATAGATATCTGATAAAGTAGAAATAGGATAATGAGACAATTTAGCAGCAAGAAGAAGAGGCATTGCAAAGGAAAAATAAGAGATAATTCCAAATTTTCAAATTTCAAATAACTAAAAGAAGTGTGGTGCTACTAATGGAAACAAAGAAGTTGTAAAAACATAAAAGTTGGGGTGAAGCGCTCTTCTGGCTGTATGGAAGAAGACCAGTTATTAGCATGGCACCTTCAGAATCCATAAGCAGGACTGTCACTCTTTATAATTCCTGAAATTCAAGTAGGACAAAGTTAAAGAGAGGGCAGGGAGTTACGGTACCAAATGGGGATCAGACTAGATGCAACAAGGGTCTCTGCCCAATCTGAGATTTTATGAATTGAGGAAAGGTTCTTCCTTAATAATTACCATACAAGTTAGAGGACACCTTGTCTAATCTCCCACTCATTACTTTGATAACATTTGCAATAAACAGTCATCCCACTTCTCTTTGAACTTTTTCAAGGTTTATGTACTCATAACCTCCCTAGGTAGCTCTGCTACATTTTCTGATTGCACTGTTAGGAATCACTATGCATACAGAGCAAAATCTATATTGTTCTGTCCTCTAAAGCTTACTGCAATACAACTATAATCCTTTTTTCACATGAAAACCCTTAAGAGGATTGAAAATAGTGATTATGGTCAGCCAAGTCTTTACTTATGATGCATTTCATGCCTCTGAGTCATATCTACTCTATAACAGATTGAATTTCTAAGTCCAAAGCCATCTGATTCCATGACTCACCTGGACGCCCACGGGGGCCTTGTTGCCCTGGTGATCCATCTATCCCTTTATCTCCAGGAAGGCCACGAGGTCCAGGAGGTCCTGGCAGCCCAATCCCTGGGGATCCAATTGGACCAAGAGGGCCTTTTGTACCAGGAAGTCCTGGTAACCCCTTGTCACCTGGGAATCCCTGTCCACCGTCACCCTGGACAACACAAAAAGAATGAAAGTTTAACTCAGAGACTTATCTGCAGAGTCATCTGCCCATAGGAAAGAGGCAACCAGTGTGACTTATGCTTTGCGTTTTGTTAAAACTTTCTAGCACTCTAGTTTATCAATCAACCTCCTCTGACTTTAGTGGAAATGAGTCTTGGCACCTCTGGATGATCTAATAATGAAAATGATTCTAGATGGGGGTTGGAGGAAAGGGCAGGAAACAAGCAGAATAGCAACCCTTGAGGTCAAAGAAAGTGTCTGGATTACTTGAAAGAGAAAGCCATTGAGAAGTTCAAGTATTTTTAAGTGATTTAATCACTTATTACCAGATTTATCAAATGAGACAATGACTTACTCTGAGAAAAAGATCGTCATTTTACAGGAAAAAAATCCCCACGGAATAAAAAACATCAGTGGCAGAGGCAGGGTGGGATACTCTGGACTCTGTCTGTTCTTCCCTATCTCATGATCATCAGATACCCTCCATCTTAATGTCAGACATGAGGATTTATAGAGCTAATTACTCAGGAATGATCAACTTACCAGAAGGCCGGGCAGCCCTGGTAGGCCTGGTGCTCCATCTTTGCCTGGGGTTCCTGTGCTCCCAGGTAACCCTTGGGTGCCACGCTCACCCCGGTCCCCTGGCATCCCTGATTTTGTGCTGACCGTCGGGTCTCCCTTCTCTCCTTTGGGGCCCATGAGACCTGGAGGCCCAAATAAGCCCTGGCAGAGAGACAGGGGGCATAATCAAGACAGGCAGACTTCACAGCTTTCTGGCACCTAGCATAATTGTGATGTTAAGCCAGTATCTTGGATACATTCTGACATCATTCTGGGCACTTGATTATGTTGTCATCTGAGGCAGTAACTGCTCATTTAGGTAGTCTTTATTAATTTTATTTTATTTCTCTTACCAAGTTGTAATTTGAGCCATTTTCTGTATTCTTTATACATTTTGAAAACTTTGAGGAAGGGAGTGTCATCTTAATTCCTATTTTATCTTCAGGGCCTAGAACAGTGCTAAGCAAATGTGAACAATTTTGTGGAAAGAAGGAAGGGGGGGAAGGGGGAAAGGTAGGCAGCTTAAAGGAGAAAGGGCCTTTAGTCAGATTTCTTCATGTTGTAAATCAAACCCCCAAAGCTTTATTTTATCCCCACTTTTTTATGTGCTTTAGGAAAGTGATGGGGGAGTGAGGGACACCTGAAAGCCCCTATTACTCTCTAAGGGCCAAAGTTTGGCAAGACTTACTGGAGCCCCTGCTGGGCCCTGCATGCCCAAGGAGCCTGGATCTCCTCTGGCTCCTTTAAGACCTGGAAGGCCTATGAGACCTTGTGGCCCAGGCAGGCCTCGTTCCCCTGGTGGTCCGGTGTTGGTGACTCCACCATCACAAGCACAAAGACCCGAGTCCCCTGGGGAAAAAAGACAACATAGAACAAAGTGGGCCCTTTTTCCAAGAAGGAAGAACTAATAGTGATTATTTGTGACTTGAGCAATTCCATGGTGGGAATCAGAAGGTCTAAAGAGAACAGACTCAAATAAACTTTGTTCATTCTCCATCAGTGTGTGTCTATGCTAGTGATTCAGATTTTTTATAATTATTTTCTTATTAAATTATAACTTTGTACATTGATGCATTTATGGGGTTCAGGGTACTGCTTTGATATACAATGTGAAATGTTTATATTGAACCAAGTAACACATCCATCACAATTATACTCATTTCTTAATAGTTTTGAAATGTACCATTGTAACATGCACATTAGGTGAGGTTCCCCCAAATACCCTCCCTTCTCCCATATCCCCTCTCCCTTCTCCTCTCTCTCCTCTTCCCATCTACTTTCTGGACTATAGTTAGGTTTTGCCATTCATATGAGTGTGTAGGTGGTTATATATTGATTTCATAGTAGTATTGAGTACATTGGATATTTGTTCTTCCCATTCTTGAGCTACTTTACTAAGAAGAGTATGTTCCAGCTCCATCCAGGTAAACATAGAAGATGTGAAGTCTCCATCTTTTTATGGTTGCATAGTGTTCCATGGTATACATATAGCACAATTTGTTAATCCATTCAGGGGTTGATGGGCACTTGGGCTGTTTCCATGTCTTGGCTATTATGAATTAGGCTGCAATAAACATTCTGGTGCAAATGTCTTTGTTGTAAAATAATTTTTGATCATCTGGGTATATACCTAGTAGAGGAATTGCAGGATTGAATGGTAGATCTACTTTTAGTTCCTTGAGTGTCCTCCAAACTTCTTTCCAAAAAGGTATTAGCTTGCATTTCCACCAGCAGTGTAGAAGTGTTCCCTTCTCTCCACATCCATGCCAACATTTGCAGTTTTGGGATTTTGTGATGTGGGCTAATCTAACTGGAGTTATATGATATCTCAAAGTGGTTTTGATTTGCATTTCTCTGATGATTAAAGATGATGAGCATTTTTTCATGTGTTTGTAGGCCATGCACCTGTCTTCATCAGAGAAGTTTCTGTTCAAGTCTCTTGCCCACATAGAAATGGGGTTATTTATTCTTTTTTTGTTGATTAGTTTGAGTTCTCTGTAGATTCTAGTATCAGACCTTTGTCAGAAGCATAACGTGCAAAAATCTTCTCCCATTCTGAAGGTTGTCTGTTTGCTTTACTTATTGTGCTCTTGGTTGTGCAAAAGCCTTTTAGTTTGATCAGATCCCAGTAATATATTTTTAGTGTTGCTTCAATTGCCCAGGGTAGGGGGTTCTCCTCATAAAATATTCTCCCAGGCCTATTTCCCTGCGCTCTCTTCTAGTATTTTAATAGTTTCATGTCTTAAGTTTAAATCTTTTATCCAGTGAGAATCAATTTTTGTTAATGGTGAAAGGTGGGGGTCCAGTTTCAGTCTTCTACAGGTTACCAGCCAGTTCACCCAGCACCGTTTGTTAAATAGGGAGTTTTTCCCCCACTGAATATTTTTGATAGGCTTCTTGAAGATCAAATGACGATAAGCAGCTGGGTTCATTTCTTGGTTCTCTATTCTGTTCCACAAATCTACTGCTCTGTTTTTGTGCCAGTACCGTGCTGTTTTGATCACTATAGGTTTATAGTATAGTGTGAAATCTGGTAATGTGATACCTCCTGATTTATTCTTATTTTTGAGTAATGTATTTGCTATTCGAGGTTTTTCTGATTCCATATAAAATGAAGTACTATTTTTTCAAGTTCTTTGAAGTATGACAAGGGTAATTTAATAGGGATTGCATTAAATCTTTAGATTGTTTTGGGTAGTATAAACATTTTAACAATGTTGATTCTACCTAGCCATGAACATGGTATGTTTTTCCACTTGTTAGCATGTTCAGCTATTTCTTTTCTCAGTGTTTCATAGTTCTCTTTATAGAGATCTTTCATGTCCTTCATTAGGTAAATTCCCAGATATTTCATCTTCTTTGGCAGTATTGTAAAAGGAATAGAGTCCTTGATTGTTTTTTCAGCTTGACTACTGTTGGCCTATATAAAAGCTATTGACTTGTAAGTATTGATTTTGTATCCTGAAACGCTGCTGTATTCGTTGATCACTTCTAAGAGTTTTGAAGTTGAGTCCCTAGGATTTTCCAGGTATAGGATCATGTCATCAGTGAAGAGTGAGAGTTTGAACTCTTCTGACCCTATTTGGATACCCTTGATCACCCTCTCTTCCCTGATTGCAATAGCTAAGACTTCCATTACTATGTTAAATGGCAGTGGAGACAGTGGGCATCCTTGCCTCATTCCTGATCTGAATGGAAATGTTTTCAATTTTACACCATTCAATATGATATTGGCTGCGGATTTGCTGTAAACGGCCTCTATCAGTTTAAGAAATGTCCCTTCTATGCCTATTTTCTTAAGAATTCTTATCATGAAAGTATGCTGGATATTATCAAAGGCTTTTTCTGCATCAATTGAGAGAAACATATGGTTTTTGTTTTTTCTTTTATTGATGTGATGTATTATATAGAGAGATTTGCATATGTTGAACTGACCCTGTAACCCTAGAATAAAACCAACTAGATCATGGTGTATAATTTTTTTGATGTTGTTGAATCCTGTTTGCTAAGATCTTATTAAATATTTTTGCATCAACATTCATTAATGATATTGGTCTATAATTTTCTTTCTCTGTTGGATCCCTTCCTGGTTTAGGTATCAGGGTGATATTTGCTTCATAGAATGTGTTGGCAAGTATGCCTTCCTTTTCTATGCTTTGGAAAATGTTGTATAATATAGGTACTAGTTCCTCTTGAAAGGTTTGATAGAATTTGGATGGGAAGCCATCTGGTCCTAGACTTTTCTTTTTAGGGAGATTTCGTATTGATGATGCTATTTCAGTGGTTGATATAGGTCTATTCAAGATTTCTAATTCTTCCAGTTGAGTCTAGGAAGATGACGTGCTTCCAGGTATTGGTCCATTTCCTTCAGATTTTCATATTTCTGGGAACAGAGATTTTTGTAGTAATCATTGAGGATTTTTTGAATTTCTGAAGTGCCTGTTGTTATTTCTCCTTTATCATTTCTGATAGACAATATTAGAGATTTTACTTTTCTATTTCTGGTTAGGTTGGCTAAAGGTTTATCAACTTTGTTAATTTTTTCAAAAAACCAACTTTTTGTTTCATTGATCTTCTGAATGATCCTTTTGTTTTCAATTTCAGTTAATTCTGCCCTAATTCTGGTTATTTCTTTTCTTCTGCTGGGTTTTTTGGTTGGAATGTTCTTCCTTTTCCAGTTGCCTGAGATGATCCATTAAGTTGTTGGCTTCCTCTCTTTATGTTTTCTTGATGAAGGCTTCCAATGCTATAAATTTTTCTCTTAGGACTGCCTTTGCAGTATCCCACAGGTTTTGATAATTTGTATCTTCGTCATCATTTAGTTCCAAAAATTTGGTGATTTCCTTCATAATCTCGTCTTTGACCCAGCTATCAGTCGCCTAAGATTACTTAGCTTCTATGACTTTGTTTGAGTATAGAGATTCCCATTGCTGTTGAGTTCAACTTTTATTCCATGGTGGTCCAAGAAGATACAAGGAATAAGGTAGGTTAGACTTGTGTCCTAGGATATGATCTATTTTGGAGGATGACCCATGGGCTGATGAGAAGAATGTACATTCAGTTTTGTTAGAGTGAAATGTTCTATAGAGGTCTGTAAAGTCCACTTGTTCTAGAGTCAGTTTTAAGTCTAATAATTCTTTGTTTAGTTTCTTCTTGGAGGATCTATCCAAAACTGTCAAAGGAGTGTTAAAATCTCCAACTATTATAGTGTAGGAAGATATCAAGTCGTTCAAATCCATTAGGTTCTGCTTTATGAATTGAAGAGCATTCTAGTAGGGTGCATAAATGTTCATTATTGAAATCTCTTGGCTC